AAGAATAATAGGGTGGATTTGAAGTTGGGATGCTTGTTAGATCTAGTTAATAACAGTGTTTTAAGTTTGATTATGAGTAGAGATATTAGTTGATGACAAGTATACTGAAATGATGCAGGGCTTGATATTACTTTGAAAGAAAATATCAAGTGCTATAGCATCTTCAGGATGGGTATGAATACTGTGAATATGAGGTTTAAGATGATTGTGAATCATGATAGCAGTGCCTTCAATAGAAGTAGGAGAGTTAGACCAATAGTTGATAAAAAAGTTATTATTACAAAAAAAAAGATTAATTTAGTCAGATATTTTAGTTTCTGTAATGCTTACAATAGATATATTATGGTTAAGACAATAGTCTTGTTATTCTTCTCTATTGATAGGTTCATTGAAGCCTTTAACATTATGTATAGTAATGTTAAGATAGAGATAATGTGAGGTTGGATTAGATAAGAGTAAAGGAGAATTATAATTAGAAGAAGTTAAAGAATAAGTATCAAAAAATAAGTCATTTATAATAGGAATAGAATTAAAAGAATTAGATCTAAGAGATAGATTGTAGAATAAAGAAAGAAGATATAGAACAATAATAATATGATCTGATAAAAGAGTATTATTAAGAAGGTATATGTGGCTTTCATTATAATAGAAAATATAAAACTAGGTACAGTTTTGTTATTGTTATATTTGTCAATATGTTGAATTAGAGTTTGAATAGTTTGACTATGAGAAAGAAGTAATAAATTGTAATAATGAAGAAATTTGTTAAAGCATGTATGAAGATCATATAGGATTAAAGATATTGTAAATATCTTTTAAAATTGTCTTTTACAGGATCAATTACTATATGCTTAGCTTTTACAGCTATGCAAGATACTATAGTCTGCCCTGTATATTGGATCTGACCATCATTATCCTGGCCTTCTACATAAATAGACTTGTCCATCTGTCTACTTATTTCATTCTTCTTATTAACTACACTGGTTGTATCTTTTAATAAAGTAGTAGCTGCTTCAATGTTGATTATAAAAGACAAGAAACTTAAAAAAAAGACTATAAAAAGAGAGAATCAAGAATAGAAACTGGTTGGAAATCAAAATTAAATTTTTTTATTAAAAATTTTTCAGCTATTAGATAAGCAGTATCATTAAAATATTTAACAATTTGTAGATAAGTTGGTTTTTGTTTTTTATAATATCAAAATATATAATAATTTGAACAAAAAATTTAATATCAATGATATTTTTTGTTAAAAGATTTATAGTCTCTTCCTTGGACAGAGACTGTATATTGTGATTATTAGTAGCAGTTTAGTGGTAGAGTAAAAGATAGCAATAAAAGTAATAATTACGATGTTTGGAATTGGTTTTAACTTTATTTTGTTCACAAATAAAGTTTTTAGCTTGATCAGCTAGTTTGTCCAGAGCTTTGGTAGAAATAGGTTGATCGAATAAGACAATATATTCTTTGTTTTTATGAAATAAGATGATATTAAGAGTTGGATAAATCTATGTTTTATTATCCTAAGATGGAAATAATGAGCATGATTTGGTTAAAATGTTATTAAAAAGTTTGGTACTGTTATAGAATTTTTTATCATCAAGGTATTGACATTCTTTATTGTCACAAGTGAGACAATGGAAGTTAGCAATATGAAATGCTTTTTTATATCACTCATGAAATGAATTAGGTTTTTTAAAGGTATAAGTTTTAGGAAGGTGTATAGAGAATTGAAGAATGAAATATTAATGGAATTGAATTCTAAGAAAAGTACAGATTTTTTCTTTGTTAATATTGGAAGAAAATTGTTTACTATAAGAGTAATCTCAGATTAAGGCATACAAGAGAAAACAAAAAAAGACAAAGGTTAATAAAAGAATTGGTTGAAGGAAAAGACTTAAGAAAGAAGACTAATATTTACCTATAGATAAACTATCAGCCAAATCTAACACACCTATTTCAACTTAGCCATTGTAGGTTATGTGAAAGTTAGATTAGTTTAGTAACAGATTTTGGAATTACAGTATGCATTATAATCATTATATGCATAGTTATTCCAAATATAGCAGGAGATTTTTATAGCTAGGAAGGCATGACCTGAGGTTGAACAGTGAAGATCCACAATGAAATTGACCATTTGTGGATCATATGTTTCTGGTCTAATACTATATAATTACAATATTTCATAAGAAATTACAAATAAAATGTGCATAATAAAGGCCTATATAAAACAGGCATAAAATTTTTGGCATGTTATAGATCCAGGTCAAAATGATTAACAGGAGTATTGACATGAATGAAATGGTGAGTTAGTCACTTCTCAAACAGATATGTAGTATAACCTATGAACAGCTTAGTTGATAAGAGGTAGTTAGATTTGGCGAGTGGTGTATTATAATTGTAAGTATTATATTAAAAATGAAAGCAAAGTTTTATTATTAGGAGACAGAAGTTTGATATAAAACATGAACAACAAATGTTTCTTCATAGGGCTTGAAGCCTTTATTATATACTTTTATTTATATAAGGCATGTTCTAAATTCTATTCGTGATATAGCACTTATGTTTATTATCTCATATATACTAATTATAATGTTTATGCTTATTATACTGAGTATAATATTCATACTGATTATTTTAATTATACCCTTAATCCCACTGATTCCCCTTATCCCACTAATATCAATTATTAACCTGACAGTAAGTATATAGCGAACACAGTGTATACTGCCAGTAAACCTATTTAAGGTAGGTGATCGACATAGCTATTAGTGGAGTCCAGAAAATCTCGGGCTGAAGATTACTTCTGACCCTATCTGGTCCAATAAAATCACAGGACCTTGTGTAACAAAACAAATACGAAAAACATAAGAAATTGTAAAAAAACATAAATAACACAAAAATTTACTATAACTAACTTCTAACCTCAAAGTAAAAGTTTTCAGAATGAAATTTTACTTATAGGACACAATTGTTAATATTAGATATATAGTGAATTTTTAAGATACTATGACCATATTCTTTTGACTGGCAGCTCAGAATTTTTTGGACATAAGGATAACCCTGTTAGTCCATTACTGTACCACATGGATCATCTGCTTAAATGAGCTTCCGGCGTTACCCTCCTACTGCTCACAGTATTTTCAAATTATGTAATACAACTATTACTGAATCTGTAATTGTTTGTGCTAAAAGTGAAGTTTAGAAACTCCTGCGGCTTTAAAAAATAAATGCATATATTTTTGAATTCAGAGGGCTTCAGTAAAATTATTTTTATGAATAAAAAAAATAATTATTATATTTTTATACTATACAAATCTTTGATTTGAATTATTGTTATTTTCTACTTTATGTACAAGTTAGACTTTTACTACAAAGTAGCTATGGTGTTTTAAGCCTATAAATAATTGTCTCAAAAGCAAGCTATTTAATTGGTACAGAGATTCTAAGTAAAAATGTTTTATATCTCAAAACCTTAATTATAACCCAAAATACTGACTTTTAATTTGCGAATTTTTTTCATCAAAAAGTTTATATACAAAACTTATAAAAACTTTGAAAAATCTATAAAATAAGGTAGCTGCACAGCACGTGATGCCATGCAAGACCAGTACGATCAGCATCTGTATGTTTATGACACCATGTATTTACTCAGGTACATAGAGGGTTAGTGGCTAGATATATATTAGTTTTTCAAAATAAATATGAAATTTATCAAGTGGGTATGGATTATGTATACTTATTGTGTATGGGAATTTTAGCATTTACTAATTTCTTTTTAAGTTTTGATTTCAGTTAATTAGAGTGCAAGATTGGGTGTAATATGAAAATCAAAACAATGATTTATTATAATAACTTGTTTAACAAATTACTTTTTGCCTACTAACAAAAAAAATTTCTTGCAAACTTTTAGCATAATGCCATTTATTAAATTTAACTTTAATCTTAACTGAGGTGTTACATTTTAAACAGAAGGTAACATGTAGATTGGTGTGAATAATCTTAGCCATTCAAAACTTGTGAAAATCAGTAAATGCAGGATCTTATTTTGTCACAATTGTCTATTGAAGTTTAGTTAACATATGAGTGATGTCAAGAGAGAAGGGTGCACTCGTTTTTTTAGTAAATAGCAAGTGTAGTGCAGTGTTCGCAGTGTTATTTTTAAACAGTTAGTTAATTGTATAGTATTATTAGATTCTTGTTTTCAAAAGTAACTTGATTGGTTATATGTATTCAAATATTTGATACCAAAATTTAGTGAGTAAATTGGAGGGTAATTTGCACATAATGATATAATGTTTATCATGCATATAAAATAGAGTAATTACTGAGAGTCAGAAACTATATATTAACATAGTATAAAAAAGCTTTGTATTAAATTTCTTCACATAGATTTAAATTTTTGCGTAATAATGATTATATTATGACACAATAGAAACCTGTCAGGAAAGTGGTCACGTTATTGGATGATCATATAGGTTTAATTGTTTAGCCAATAATGATTACATTTATTTGCGCATATAAATCGAGGATCATAAAATTATTTGAAATAATTTTCACACATGTTTATGTTTTAACAATTAACTATGTTTATTTCATTTTATTATCTGGTTAGAACAGGAAAAGGCATAATGATATGTAATTAAAGTTTTAGATTGTTTAATTTAATCAATTAGATATTATATAGGGTATACTTGCATGAAGCCTTTATGATTGACATATGTTAGACTTTTACAAACTCCTGAGAATTATATTAGCCAGTTTAGTTATAAATTAGATAGATATATTGCAGAACAGGAATATATTGATTTACATGAGATAGAATGGCTTATTTCTGTGTGAAATTCATTTGACTTTTTCTGTTATGATTTATTAGGTTATTTTGATTTAATACATGCATAGATATTGGGAAGGGTAATTTATATTACTATTAAAATGAATATAAGTAGCTTGATTGTTGTTTAGTTTTTTAGCAGTTTGCAATATCGTGTTGTATAGACATGATTGTTAAAATCATTCAAGTTCGACAGACTGATAAAGATGAATCAAATTTGACTATCATATGGACACTGAGAGTTTATCCTGTTGAAAGTAAAGATTGTGAAGTAGAGATTGTTCTTTTTGTTCCAATAAACAAAGAAGAGAGAGATTCTAATGTTCAATCAGTTTTTGTAAAAAGCGAATATTATAATGTTTGTGGAAAAGCTATACCCAGAACTTATAATGACAGATTAAGATTAAAAGTAAGTTTAATCTATATTTTGTAAGGTGTGTTTAAATTACTGGTTATTAATTTTATTAAATTTAGATGACAGCTATATTATCAACTCATCTTACAATTAAAAGAGACCTTAGTTCGAATAGATGTCTATTAAAAGCTTCATTAGTAGCTATCATTTAGAATATTCCAGAAGAAGTTAATGATGAAAGCGCAATGCTAAAATTACTAGTGAACGATTATGCTGGTCAGAATTATAGCTTTATTATTAAGGTAGTATTTTCACATTACAATAGTCGATTTAAGCATTTAATGAATTCTGTTCGTTCAAATGAATCAGTACTTTTTGTTATCATATATATAGAAGTTATACTTAATGATTTGTATATATACGCTGCTGACATTTCTTATGTCGAGGTGGTTAAAAAGAAATTTTCTAGTTCAAGTAATACTCAAACTACGTCTGAAGTGTATAGATCTGTTCGAGCAAGGCTCTTAACTGCTCATCAGAATGTTAATGAAAAGTCAGTTAAAGTATCTTCAGATGAAGTAAATAAGCATTCAGCGGATCTAATTGGTGATGATTTCCATTCTTCAAAACATGTAAGGCAAGAAGTCAGTGAAGACAATGACGATTGCGTGGAAGTTGAGGATGATCAGGTTAGAAATATTAGTTTCGATTATGGTTATCATGAGCAAATAGTTGAACATAACAAAAAATACATAGATGGTAGTGATGGGCATGAAAGTGATGTCACAAATGAAAATAAAGGAACTATAAGTAAATATAAGAAGGAAAATAAAGATAAAGAGAGAGTAACATGGTCTATAGTGCATAATATGAGAAGTCGAGTTGGGATGCTTAAGAATGTAAATATGACAGAATAATTTTAAGTATATTGTTTTCGTTTTTTATTGATCTTTGTCATTTTTCTTTTATTGTATCATGTTATTATCTGAATATTCAATTTGTAAATATGAAAAAAAGAATAAGTAAATAAATAAAAATAAGTATTAAATTTGAAGGGTTTGTGTTTGCACAGTATAATTACGGTTATTATAAATATATTATTACTGTATAGGAGGATTTTTAGGGTATCAGCACAGTTTAGGTTCAAGGGTTAACTTGTAAAGGTATATTTATTATGATCATAGCAGAAGAGAAATACTTGTATAAGCACTATTATTTATGTAAAGATCAAATAGATTAACTTAAACAATTAATTAATATCGATCTCAACTTATTTTATACTTGATTTCTGTATTTTTTTAATTCTCGTTTGTTAACTTAGTTACAAATATAATATAAAAATTTATTGTTTTTAAGTTTTAGTTTTTGTTTAGTTTTTACATTTTATTATTCACATAAGCAATAAAATAATTCAATATATATATAAGAAAAATATAATAATAATCGAATAAATATTAGAACTGTTTATGTTTTTAAATTTTAAATAATAGCTATCATATAATTTTATAAAGGGTGGGTAATGTTAGGCCATGTAATTAGCTGGTCAGTTATTTTAGAGCATTCTTCAAGGCATTCAAGTTTTTTTTTAAGGTCAGAATCCACAGGCGCATTAAGTTTTAATAGATTAAAAGGTTGAAATATCATAAGATCTTTTATTCTTTGTACTTGTAATAACATCACATAAATACCTGCTCTTTTGTTCCCACCATCTAGATCAATGATTACTTTTTCTAATGTTGCTTTCTGACACTTGAATTCTGTAATCACAAAAGCTAGGGTGATAGGTAATTGTTTTCTTTGAAATTCGTGAGTTATATTTGATCCATCTCTTGTTTTATGCATATATTTGCATCTTCATTTAACAGGGTATATTGGTACATGGTTCTGTAAAAGACCATCATACATGTTCGGTTTATGGTTTAGGAGTTTTATTATTATGTATTTTGGAAGTTTGTCAAAAATAATAATATTTTCTCCTTTGTTATTTATATTTCTTACAATTGATGATGCAGTGTCATATATAATCTCACAAAGAATGCCTTGGGAGCCATTTACCATACCATCACTTGTACAAATATTGATTGTTAAAGCTACTCTCATGCCTATTGATAATGGTAGTATACTACACAGAACATTTGATTTCATGTCTGATATGCTCAGAAACTTTTGCCATATATTATCATAAACATGTTTATTTTTGTACATGTCTTCAGCACAAATGTAATAAATAGGTTGGTTGTGGTCTTTAGCATGTTAGATTGTAGCTTCAAAGTTGATTTGGATCCGTAAATCATTTTTTTGAACCAAAAATACAGCATTTTTCCATTTGAGTGAGTTTATTTCATTATCTGTTATTATACAGTCACAAAGAGTTTCATACTGAGTTAGTGTTATATGATCAAACCATAAATTATTTAGTATTATTGTATATTCCAGGTCATTAATTTGACACATCTGTTTCTTAAGAATAATTACATGTTTTACTAATTTCCACAGTTCTCTATCATTAATGTTTATCAACATTCTGATGTTAACAGAATTTGTAAGTTGCGAAGTTATTGCTTTGTTAACATTACTAGCTTTATATAAAGGTAGATCGAGAACCAGAGGAAGTTGCATAAATCACTTACAAAGACTATATTTAGTCTAGCAAAAGGTATAGCATCATTTTCCAGATGTTTCACTTCTTTAACACATATATGAAATTTTGTTAAAAGTTTTTGTCCTATTATAGAAATTTCATCTATAATGAGATATTCTATATCTGCCCAGTGGTCTTGAAGTGTTTTTTTTTGATTGTATTTATAGAAAGTTATATCTATAATCATTATCATCATCCTCACTAAATCTGAATCTGCATAAGGAATGAAGAGTACAATCTTCAATATTGGATGCAGCAAAACCAGTTAGAGTGCAAATGACAAGAGTTTTTTCTTGATTGGTTTGCTTAAAGTATTCACAGATCACTTTAATAACTTTTGATTTTCCAGTGCCTCCAGCACCATCTAAATACATTAATAACTGAGATGGTCTATTAGGACAACTAGGGTAATTTTATCTATGATGATTACAAACAAGCAAGACAACCTTTTTTTTGTTCATTATTAAGATTAATTAAAATTTTTTAAAGTGGATCTATTCAATTTGATATTGTTTGTGAAACAGAGGTATATGTAAAGATATTTGATATATAAATTTTATTAGGATTTATGTCATTATTTATCTGATTTGTTTTTTTTCTCGATGTTATAGTTTCTTGCCATAGTTGAACCTGATAATCGTCATTCTCATTAGAATATTGGATTTGGTTATTACTATAAAAATTAGTTGTCTCATTTTGAAATGTTGTTTTGTTTCTCCTAATAAATTTTTTATTAAGATACAAATGGAGCATTGCATCATCAACAAATTTTGTATTATTCAGTCCAGAACGCAATTATATATGAGTCTAAGGTTAAATTATCAATAACAAGATCATTGTCACCCTGATTATCTAGCATTTCTATATCGTCACTGGACATATCATAACCTGCTACAGATCTTTCTATTCATCAGATTTTTGCAAATTCTGGTTTTCAAAAGATGCTTTACGTAGTCTACGATCCAATTCTGTTTCTTTTGTACATCAATGTAAAAGTTTAATATTATTTATTATTGACTTTAGACATGGAGATAGATTTTGATCTTGTAAGAAAGTCTCGCATGCTTCATGCCATGAATCATGTTCTGTTATGAGATTATCAGCAGTAGTCCATAGTTTAAAAAATAAAAGAATGCAAAGTCCATATCATTCTGCATTTTCAGAATCATCCTTGTATAGTATTCCTTTTCCATATATTACAGGTATTTTTTCACTTTCCCAACATCAGTGAGCTTGTATATGTGTCGCATGTTGTGGATGTATGGCATTATGATTACAAAATTCATTACATTCTTTTTCTCCTCCCAAAAAAAAAATCTGTCTACTCTTGTTGTTCAGCCTTCATAATTTTTTTGTCTGGCAAGTTTATTTAATTCTTTGTCATTTATTTTTATTTTGTGAATAGTTTTAGCATAATCATAAAGGCACATATTTTCTAAATATTTTCTATGATACTGTTGGGTTCGGAAGTTTGCGACTCTGTCACTCCAAAATCCTAAACCTCGTGTAACGTACGACAAGTAACCTTTTCGAAAGAGGGTGTTAGATTTGGCTTGTGGGCGAGAAAGGCTT